TCTCTCTCACTCTCTGACGCGCACACACACCCTGCTGCATAAATACTGCTCTCTCCTTACTTCACATCAGCTCTGAAGAAGTCATCTAGACTCAAAATATCAGCTTATTGTTTCTCTGCATGGATGCTGGTATTTTTTTGTTTGTTTTCAGTATAGTTTCCAGCATCTGCAGTAATTTGCTCCCACAAACAGCAATGATTTAATGACCAGATAATTTGTTTTAGTGTTTTGGAAGAGGGATAATGGCTAGTTCAGGGTGTAGAACTCCCTTACCTTTTTTTAAACAGTGCTGTAAGATCTTCAAATTGCATAGATAGGGTAACCTTACCCAAATGACATCTTTGCTAGTTTTACAATCTGTCAGTGTTACATAGAAGTCTTAGCCTAAATTGCTTGTTCAAATATTGGAGTGGGTCTTGAACCCAACTGGAGTCATTGCTGGCTTCATTACGTTGTTTCACCAAGGCAGCAACAGATTCCCCTGCATTATCAACCTAAAATTCTTGAAAATTGCATCCTTAAAAAGCTTGGAATCACAATGGACCTAAGCACCATTCAGGCAACCATTTGGGTAAATAGCATTGGCTGTATATCTCAGTTATGCACATTTTCCATTCAGTGGTTCACTCTGCAGCTGAGTTGCAAGATAAACGTTCATGGGCAACATCATGCCAACATCTTATGTATTCATTGATACCCAATAGCTTGCAGATTTTGAATCATTTACTTTTAAATAATGGTTATTTTTAGATGCAATCTTGCAGTTCTACTTTCAAATTTACCTTACTTTTAGTCGACAGTGATTCTCGATAAAATTTGGTTTATTGATTCAAAGCATTTGTAAAAATCTGGAGCAGTGGATATTTCTAACGAAGAGATTAGTTGGTTCATAGGGCCATGATTTACGTAACAGATTAGGTTAGAGGAGGAAAAAATGTATGTAAAAATGCTAAAGATTAACATTGAAAGAACAGCGAATTTCTTGGAACTTATGGCAGTTAGAAAACCAGGCAATTCATTACAAGCAGTCTGAGGTGATTAACCAAACCTAAGGACTTTGAAATGGCATGGCACACTGGCTAACAACTTTTTGAAAAATAAGACTTTGACTGGAGGATGCCAGTTTTGCTGATGTCCTATGTAAGAGCAATAATGTTGTTATCTTTCCCAAAATAAAATGAGTCGGAGGAGATAGCGGGAACAGCCTATGTAACCTATAAGAGAGAGTGATTTAAATAAAGTTAAACATAGATTTGTAAAGATAGTAGTCAACATTAATAAAGATTGCATCTTTGTGATTGATAAGTTTTCATTACATAGGAAATGAAGTTGATTGCAAATAAAAATAGTTTTTTCCTTATTTGTTCAACCTATGTATAAAAATGAACACTCCCTTCATCTAAAGGAGAAAATATCTGAGATTTATTCCCTTTTGTGACTTACATAATTCCGAAATCATCCATGTCAATTCTGTTAACATTAACAACTTGCATTTGTATAGCACCTACACATAGCAATGCTTTACCAGAGTATGTTCAAGCAAACTTTACCATTGCATCTCAGGAGGAGATAGCTTAGTCAAAGAGGTGGGTTTTAAAGGTCAATTTAAAAGACGAGAGAAGTAGTGAGGCTCAGAGATTTAGGATGAGAATTTCAAAACTCAGGGCTGAAGATACAGCTGATAACCACAGAGAGATTAAAAGTGTTATACAAAATGCCATAATTTGAGAAGTGCAGAAATATCGAAGTCTTGTAGGGCTGGCAAAGGAAACAGAGAGAGAAAGAAAGAAATGAGGCTTTGGGCCTATAAGCAAGGGTGAGAATTTTCAAATGAAAGTGTTGTCTTACAAGGAGCCAATGTAGGTTAACCAGGACAGTGCTGAAGGGGATTCAATAAGAGTTAGGGCACAGCAGCAATAGTTTGAACTTAGGTTTGTAGTGGATGCAGATGGACCAGCCAGAAGATGAACAGACTCGTCGATTACAAAGGTAACATAATCTTCGATAGTTTGATAGATCATCTATTGATGAACTGAGGCAGGTGGAAAACTATATATTAATACATGGGGTTCATTTTGGATTAAATTTTCACTTATTGTTAGTAGCTGTGCATTCTTAACGTGCACAGCAGTTTATAATGCTATTCTTGGTTTTTGGCTGCATTCTATACTACTGCCAGTGTCTTTGAGAAGGTTTATTTCTCTTGTGTGTGCAGTATTGGGGTATCCAAACTCATTGCCTCTGCTTGTATCATCAAAATAGTTAGGTTTGGGCCCCTTACACCCCTAGTAAACACAACAGCTTGTTGTCACATTTCAGAAGTGCCCAAAAAAGGCCGTGTGCAATTTTTTAATATTGCAGTTGAGATTAGCCTTGATCACCTTAGGCAGAGACACCTCTTGAAGAGACACACTTTCATTCCTGTTCTGAAAGATATATTACAGGTGAATTCTATAAAAATGGCATTAGCCAGTGTGCACGTGTGTCTGACACAAATATCTAAGAGCACAGCCAAGCCATTCAATTCCAGTGCAAACAGATTGTACTTTTGGTTTGTTTGATTCCATTAATTCTCTGTCCCTGCAAGCTCTGATCCATATTCTCTTTCCTGTATGAAGCGCTTGACGTACTATTGCCACCCAAATCTGTGCTTGTATTTCTCATGTTGACATGTTTGAATTATTCCAATATGATCATAATAAACTTTCCCCTCATCACTCTGATTGTCTGTAGCTTTTGACATGGTTGGCCACTTCGCTTTTCTTTAAAGCCTATCCTCTATCTTCCAGCAGGATGACATTGGCTTCACTTGATTCTGTCGGTTGTAACCACAGAATCATTTGTATTGGTTTCTCCTATATCTGTGCTATTATCTCGTGTTCTTTAAGTGTTTTACCTTGACCTCCTCCAATTTCTCGTCTCCATCCAAAAACACGTCAAAATGTGCATGTATCCTGACAACACTCATCTCTGCCTCACCACCACCACCTTTTCTGGCTTGTCTGGCAACCAATCATGAAGGAACAGCAGTTTCTTCCAAATACTGCAAAAACCATAGTGTTGTCTTCAGTCTCAGCCACAAACTCCGATCCCGAACCATAAAAGAGTCCATCCCCATTCTTGGTTACTGGCTGATGCTGAAACAGACCATTTATAGCCTACATTGACTCATATTCTGGGAATGACTCGATTGTAAAATTCTCATCTTTGTTTCCAAATCCATCCATGGCCTTACCCTTCCCATTTGTATAATATCCCTCAGACCCACAATGTGCTGAGATCTCTGCACTTTTCCTTTTCTTGTACAACCCTGATTTTAATCCCTTCACCATAGGCAGCTGTGACTTCAGGAATTGGCTGAGTGACAGGAGGCACAGAACAGAGATAATTTGCCAGCGACACTAGTTGGCAGGGTATGATTAGCAGTATCTCACAGGGATCTCTGATGGGCCCACAACTGTTCATGCTAACTGTTAGTGATTTAGATGACAGGATAGAGAGCTGCACATTCACATTTGCAGATGCTACAACAATAGATGACATTGTCTGCAATAGATAGAAACATAAAGTTGGAGAGCTGTATTAATAGATTAGAAGGGCAAAATGTGACAAATGGATTCATCTCAAATCCAGTTCAATATGGACAAATGTGTAATCATCAAATTTGGACCTTGAAAGGATAAATCAGAGTACTGGGTGGTGAAAAACTAGTAGTGGTGGAGGACCAAAGAGACTCAGGGATACAGTGGGATGCTCTTTGGAAGGTCAGTGTGGACTTGATGGACCGTATGACCTGCTTTCCACACTGTAGGGGTTCTTGTGATTCTGTTACATATACACAAATCATTAAAGTGTTATGAATAATGCAAAAAAAAGCACTTCAAAAAGCTAATGAAGTGTTGACCCTTGTATCTAGAGGATTAGAATACAAGAATTAGAAGTCAAACCGCAACTATGAAAAGCCCTGATTAGATCAGTAGTTGAGTATTATGTTTAATTCTGGCCATCATCCATTAGGACAGAATTATTGCCTTTGGAGACAACCTAGTTTTACTAGAATAATACTGAACTCCATGGGTTAAATTATGGGAACATATTCCATAAACTAGGACTGCAGTGCCTGGAATTTAGAAGATATGGAAGTAATTTGCTCAAGGCTTTCAAGATACTAAAGAAATTAGCAAGATAGTTTAGAGAGAAACGGCTTCCACTCGTTGAGGAATCTCTGGTTTAATAGACATGGCTTAAAATTGAGATCTATGCCTTTCAAGAATTGAGCTAGAAAGCAGTCTGCATGTAAATGTTGATTGAAGTTTGAAACTATTCTAGAAATGCCAGTTGGTGTTGGATCAGTTGTTTTTGAGTTTGAGATTGACAGATTTCTTTTCACCAAAGGTATTAAAGAATATGGAATAAGGGTAAGCAAATGGGGTTGGGTCACAAATCAGCCTGGTCGCATTGAACAGGGGTGGAATATGCGTGAGGGGCTAATGGCTTCTCTTGCTCATTTGTTCTTAAGATGTTGAAACAATTTGGGGGAAAAAGTCTTTAAATTAAGTCTGACCCCAGAGACCCACACTCTTTCATAAGTGGGGCATGCGTTTATCTGCTTTCCTGGCTGTGTCGCTGTAAATTATATTTTGACTTCACTTTTTCTGCACTGTCTCCAAGCCCAGTAGAAACTGAGCTGAGACAGCCAAGATTAATTTTACATTGGAACTTTCAGCCGTCAGACAAAAGGTAGTTGTATTCGGTAAGTATGGGCAGAATTACCACAGGTCTCAATGCTTGGTACCATTCAAATCTCACAGGAACCTTTTAAAATCACAAAGAGCAAAAAATAGTTATGAACTGGCAGTTGTTACCTTAGGCAAAAGGGGAACAAAAATTATTTTTTGCTGAAAAATAAATTGAACACGAAGGATTGATTCACTATACATTTTGTGGTTCTTGCTGTTCAACTACTTCTAATTGAATTCATTTTTTCCTTCTGTTTTCAGCTAAAAAGACTTAAGGAGAAAGCAGAAAGAAAGGCAACCAGACCAAAAGATGTAAGTGTATTACTCCTGTAAATAATCAGCATTCCTGTCAGGTAAAAGTATATAATTCACATGCCGTACTGTAACAACACTAAAGTATCATAAATACAAGTGTACTGATAATCCGGTACAGAAGTTGACATTCAAACTGGAATTGTCATGAAACAGAGTTGTCAATACTGATGATACAAATAAGTGTTTCTGCAGCTGTAGATGTGACTCCAGCCTGTTTGAAACAAGGGAGTATGACATCATTGCTATTATGACATGGTTGAGGGAGGGGCAAGGCTGGCAGCTCCGTATTCTAGAGTATACAATTTTCAGGCGGTGTAAAAGAGGATGGTGTTGCGATATTGATCCAGGCATCAATTACTGCAATAAGGAAGGATGTGATCTCTTAGAAGCCCCCTCAATTGAGGCCAAATGGGTACAACTTAGAAACAAAAAGGGGCAATCACTTTGAGTGTATTACAGACCCCCAAACATAAGGGAGAGATACAAGGGTGGATATATAGGCACTTTTCAGAGATGTGTAAAAATAATAGGGTATTAATAATTGGGGATTTCAACTTCTCTGATATTAACTAGGATAGACAAAGTGTGAAAGTTAGAGATGGTGGAATTCTTAAAATGTATCCAGGAGATGGTTTTAATCTAGTACATAGAAAGAGCTACAAGAGTTGAGGTGGTGGTGGACCTAATTTTAGGGAATGAAGCAAGGCAAGTGGTTGAAGTGTCAGTGGGTTTTATATGGGAGACATGATGATAGCGACTGTAACTCAGCAAGTTTTAAGGTAGTTATGGAAAGGATAAAGTTGGACCATAAATAAACGTGTTGATGCGGGGGAATGTAGGTTTTAATGTAAGACAGGACCTGGCCAAAGTGAACTGGGAACAGCTACTTGTAGGAAACTCTACATCAGAGCAATGGAGGGCCAACATGTTGCTATAAAGATGAAGAGAGGCACCCTTGGATATTGAGGAATGTACAGGATTGGTTAAGGGAATAAAAGAGAAGCTTTGAGTCATACAGCATGGAAACAGATCCTTCAGACTAACTCGTCCATGCAGACCAGACGTCCCAATCTGACCAAGAACAAAAACAGAAATTGCTGGCAAAGCTCAGCAGGTCTGGCAGCATCTGAGTAGAAAAAAATCAGAGTTAATGTTTCAGGTCCGGTGACCCTTCCCCAATCTGACCTAGTCCCATTTACCAGTATTTGGCCCATATCCCTCTAAACCTTTCCTATTCATATACCCACCCAGGTGCCTTTTAAATGTTGTAATTGTACCTGCCTCCACCACTTCCTCTGTCAACTTGTTCCGTACAGGCACCAGCCTCTGCGTGAAAATGTTATCCCTCAGGTCCTTTTTAAATCTTTCCCTTCTCACCATAAACCTATCCCTTCTAGTTTTGGACTCCCCCACCCAAAGAAAAAGACGGTGGCTATTCACCCTATCCATGCCCCACATGATTTTATAAACCTCCTATAAGGCCAATCCTAAGCCTGTGTGCTCCAGGGGAAAAAGGTCCCAGCCTGTTCAGCCTCTCCCTGTAGCCCAAACCCTCCAATCCTGGCAACATCCTTGTAAATTTTTTTCTGCACCCTCTCAAGTTTAACAATGTCCTTCCTATAGAAGGGTTACCAGAATTGTACTCAAAATTCTAAAAGTGGCCTCACCAATGTCCTTTAGAGCCACGACCTGACATCTCAACTCCTATACTCATTGTTCTGACCAATGAAGGCAAGTGTGCCGAACGCCAGCTTCACCACTCTGTCTACCTGCGACTTCACTTTGAAGGAACCATGCACCTGCACCCTAGGTTTCTTTGTTTGGCAGCACTCCCCAGGGCCCTACCATTAACTGTATAAGTCCTGCCCTGGTTTGCCTTACCAAAATGCAAAACCACATTTATCTAAATTAAACTCCCATCTGCCACTCCTTGGCACATTGGTCCATCTGTTCAAGGTCCCATTGTACTCTGAGATAATCTTCTTCCCTGTCCACTACGCCACCTGTTTTGGTGTCATCTACAAACTTACTAACTGTACCTCCTATATTCACATCCAGCTCATTTATGTAAATGATGAAAGGCAGTGGACCCAGCACTGATCCTTGTAGATACTGAGGACTCGAAGCCCTAGAGGTGTTAAGAAAGTACAGGTGATTACTTAAAAAATAAATTAGGAAAGCAAAGATAAGGCATGAAAAAAAAGCGCTGGTGGGTAAAATGAAGGAAAATCCAAAGGCATTTTACATGTATGTGAGGAGCAAGAGGATAACTAGGGAAAGAGTGGAGCCTTTTGGGGATCCAAGTGGCAAGCTTGGATGGAGCTGAAAAATGTAGGTGAGGTTTTAAATGTATACTTTACATCTGTATTCACAATAGAGAAAAATGATGTACATACAGAAATAAGAGAAGAGGACTGTATTATACCTGAGGAAATTGCAATTGAGAGGCAAGAGGTATTTTGTGGTTTTAGCAGGCTTAAATGTGGAAGGATGTGACTGCACTAACGAGGACGCAGAGGAGATTTGCCAGGATGTTGCCTGAGCTGGAGCGATGCAGCTATGAAGAAAGATTAGATAGGCTGGAGTTGTTTTCCTTCGAGCAGAGAAGGCAGAAGGGGGACCTCATTGCAGGGTACGAAATTATGAGAGCCATAGATTGGGTAAACAAGGAGAAGTGTTTCCTTTAGTAGACGAATTAATGACGGGGGTAGTGGAAATAGATCTACGATAAAAGGCAGGAGATTGAGAGGATTTAAAGAAGAATTTTTTCACTCAAAATATGGTGGGTGCCTGGAACTTGCTGCCTGAAAAAACCATGGGAAATATCTCAACATTTAAGTGTTTGATCATTTGGAGTATGCAAACTTATAGGCCAAGTTCTGAAAAATGGGACTAGAGTAGATGTTGCACTTTATGATCGAGGAGGACATGATGGGCCGAAGAGCCTGTTTTCCATGTTGTAGCTCTATGACTCTACTGACTTACTGCTATGTTATAAGTACATACAGTGGGCTGTTTTTAAAAAAGAAATCTAGCCCCAACATTTTGTTTTATTTTATAAGTGATGTCTCAGAAACAAATAACAGTTTTGACTTTAAGGTGTTGAAATCGTGAACTACAGGCTTCCAGTGGTAACTTCAGCCATAAGAGCATGTTAGAGCTCTAGCTATCTTTTATTATTGACAACTACATTAGAAAACAGTATATCAGGAATATTTTAATATGATGATCACCGCTTAGAATTAATTTACTGTTTATCTCTTTCTGAGTTATCATGGCAGTTTTTTTACTCACTGAATATACATCCTGTTTTTCTTTTTTCAACCCCTTGTGATTTTGAAATGCGGCTTGGTGCCAACAAGTAGTTGACATATACATAGGTTACTGTTAGTGAGAATTGTAAATGCACCACACAGGAGTTTCTGGCAAACCACAAAATATTTTACTGTGGATGTGAACAGTATTTACATTCTCAAAACTTTATTCAGTTTTACTGAATATGTAATAAAATGCTTGTGCATAGAAAGTTGGCAGTGTTCAAGTCACAAAATCAACAAGTTTCATTTCCTTTCCCTTCACGTCACTGTAAAATGCTTTGGAGTAGTTCAATTTTCAAATGTTTCTGAATCAATTTTGGGGTGCGTGGGAGGGGCAGTGCCCAAGGGTACACTATACTGGCAGTGTGTGCTCACATCTGCATGACCTAGTACTTGAGGGTTGAAATCTGAAGTTGTGTGTAGTATCTGCACTCATTTCGAATTGTTGGATAGATGGACCAATGGCACGTTGATTGGTAGAGCAAGTTCATATTGGTTACTACCTCATGTTTGTTTCTTCTACAAATGATGCCAGCCTGGTAGTGTCCTTCAGAACTTGGACAGCTTGGTACTTCTGCCAGACCACTCTTGTTGGTGGACATTGAGTTGCTGATTCCCCTCCAGCCTCTTTTCCCCCATGCCATGGGAATACTAACTTATGCATTGGGAGCAAGGAGAAGTAGGCCATTCAACCGTTTAAGCCTGCGCTGTCATTGAATGAAATCATAGTATTTTTGTGTTTTGAATTCCACATTCCCCACCTACCCCTGATGATCTTTGATTTCCTAGCTTAAAAAGAATCCATCTACCTCTGCTGGAAAAATTTTCAATGGCCTTGCTGTTACTGCCTTTTGGGACTGAATTTCCAAGTGTTACAACCCTCTGAGAGGAAAAAAAACAAAAGAACTTCACCTCTTTCCTAAAAAGGCAATCCATAATTCTAGATTCTGCCACAATAGGAAAAATCCTCTACTCATCTACCCTCTCAGGACCTCTTATGGATTTATATTTTTCAATTAAGTCAGTGCTTATTCTTCTGAATTCCAGCAGATACGAGCACTAGCGGTCCACCTGCTTCTCATAAGATAACCCACTCATTCCGAGTACTAATCTGGTAAACATCCTCTGAACTCCCTCACTGCATTTACATCCTTCATTAAGTGACCAAAACACTCTGCAATACTCCTGATGTGAGCTCACTAGTGCCCTGTATAACTGAAGTACACGACCCCATTTTTGTATTCAACTCCCTTCACAATAGATGATAACTTTCTATTAGCTTTCCTAATTATTTGCTGCACCTGCGTAGCAAACTTTTGCGCACGAGAGCACCCAGATCCCTCTATCTCCCTTGTACCAACATAAGGTTCATGGATTATCTGAAAGCAGTGCAAATATATTTTCATGTGTATAATTATCAGGGTAAGTAAAAATCAAGTATAAACTTGGCTGTACCTGAACACAGAAATTGAAGTCTCAGCAGGATAAGACACAAACATTTGAATTAATTTGTCATTACTGTATGCACTTAATGAATAGTGCAGTCATAAAATGAAGAAACCGTTTATCAAACTAAAACAAGAATTAAAAATGTCACTTATTGCACATTGCAGAATGAGAATCCAGCTTTGTATATTGTGTTGCTTGATTATTGCAATAAGGCAAATATGTTGAGCTTAA